GGCAGGCGTTTTGATAGATATCATTAGCTATTTAGCTGACTTCGGGCTTCACAAAGGGAAGGTTCATCAAAGTAGCAGAAGGTCGAGGGGTGGGGAACAGAAGAGCGATTCACAGATGTAAAAGAGGCAGACAGACACTAAGGTAGAGAAAAAGGTAAGGTGAGTACTCTGAAAGGGGTCGAATATGACAACCAGGGCGGTCGTGGTAGTTTGAAGTGAGAAGTCAAATGCCAATTAATAGACTTTTTTGCCGTATGAGTATACGTTGCCCAGGGTGCACCACGTGGAGGTAAGTCTATCGCACACCCCTGTTGATGCAAAGTAGGGAAATAGAATCTGTGTAGTTAGTTATTATGGGTTTGATTAGAAGCGGTGCGTACCCCAATGTGCAGAATAACCAACCAATATAAAGAAGTGTAGTCCGGTTAATGAAGTGGTTGGTGAAATGGAGTTTCGCGTCAGTTAATTGTCTATCTACGTCGAGATTTAGAAAAGAATTTCCTAGGAGGCTTTTGAGTTCAAAAGTGGATAAGAGAGGATGGTGGTGAGTAGAAGTGGGAGATAAAGTTGAATGATCACGAGAGTTTCAATCCACTTGAACTTCATCCAGCCCTAATGCTACGGGCATAAAATTCCAGCATTTGGCCACAAAGTTTCCTTAATATGCTTGTGACCGTAGATATTCAGAATTTGTTGACCGATTGACCCCGTTTATTCGAAGGCGATTAAATAACATATTTCCTCGCCACATTTTATACCCTATATTTTATTGCATATTTTATCCACCATTGAAGTGCATCGACAACTTTTTTTAAAGTTAATGCTTAAAATGAAAGAAGTAGTCAAATAGCATACGCAGATTTTTGAAAAATGTGTCTCAATAATATAATAAACATATTTTATTTTATTATTATAAATTCTATTATGAAACATTTAAAACACTTCGGCCGTACTGAAGTGACGGCAGCCAAATTAATTAAAATGACTCCTATTCAAATTCTTTTCAATTCAAAGATTAAAGTCTTCCATTTTAGATCACAACTTTATGTGTGCAAATAGATTTTCTCGGAAATTTAAAATTTTCTTTTCCCACAGCTGCCAAGTGGCATATGGGAATTCCTCACCTTTACACTTCTTCGTCCACAGTTCATCCTCGTGAGAGCAGAATCTCTTTTGATGTTTGTCTAGATTTGTTATTCTTCTTCTTTTTGCTAGCCTTGAAGCGCCATTGTCCAGGAAAGCAAAGACGTTCTTTATTTAAAGTTATTGAATCGGTTTCTGCTATTTTTGGCGCATAGGAAATTCATTGTAGAATATAGACGACATTTTTTGTTGCATCTCGACGTATTTTGGTGACAATTCAAAGACATTTTGAGCGTCATCTCTTAAAATAATTTTGCCTGATATTTGAGGATGATTTGCTTCAACCAGCGCTAACTTCTTAATAGCATTCCAAGTTAATTCGACATGATGTATTATAAGGTTATAACGTTTTGTTCTTTTGTGCCCATTTAATTTTTTCTCACTCGTTATTTAGTTATTTCATTGTCAAGGTACTAACTTTATTCCTTCAAAGAAAATAAGAAAAATCATGTTAAGTCAATATTTCTGAACTAGAATTGTTTCACAATGCTTAGGTAATATATATATATATATATATATATATATATATATATATATATATATATATGCATATCAATTGGCAGGCTTTATGATAGTTATCATTAGCCCTTCACAGAGGAGAGGAGCATCAAAGTCACAAAAGTGGTGTGGGGGATCAGAATAATGATTCGCAGATGTTAAAGAGACGGTCACAAAGGTAGACAAAAGGTGGGGTGAGCAATGTGGAAGTAGTTGAGCATGGTATACAGTGGGGTGATGTTAGTTTGAAGTCAGAAATCAACTGCCAGTTTATAGACTTTTTTTCGTATGGGCCTGCGTTGCCCAGGATGCACCACTTGAAGGTAAGTTTATCACGCACCCCATATATTGGTAGATGAGTTAATTTATGTAGTCAAAAGTCAGGAGGGGGGGGGAGGAGGGTGGATGTTCAGTGCTTCATTGGGAATAGTCCAGTGAGTGAAATTTTTTATTGCAACTAAAGAGACTGATTTAATACTGAGTTCTTAATTAGATACCTCCATAATGCTACTCCTTCACACAATATCAGAGTAAAAAGAACTTTCCAACATTGAATTAATATTTAATAATGTAATGTAATCTCCGAATCACTTTTAGATTGAAAAACACGACAACTGCGTCTACGATTATCTGGAAATTCGGGACGGTCTTTCTGAGAGTTCGTCGGTGTTGAAGAAGCTCTGTGGCTCCAATTTACCGACACCAATCAAATCAACTAATAATATGATGTATATAAAGTTTGTCTCAGATAGTTCCGTGGAAAAGCAGGGCTTCACCGCGAAATTCCAAAAAGGTAAAACTAATTGAATGTAGAAATGAAATATGACATTTATCTTAAAAAAAATAATATCGAACGGTGTTTGACGACCTTAAACTGTCCCAGTACTTTCAATTTTTCCACCCCCTTGCTGTTGACAGCATTGAATTCCATTAACGATTATTCATCAAAAAAGGTGTTCTAAGTTTGAAAACAAACTTTGATTTGACTTGCAAATCATGTTAAGTGATATGCTTCATTTTTACCAGCCCCATGGGCAATAATGGATTCCACCTCTACTTTAACCTCTTGACTACACTTTAATTCATTCAGAAGATTGTACATAGACGGAGTTTGATTTTCGATTGCAAAAGTAGACCAAATCGAGGTGGGAGAGGTGGAAGCTGATCCATGTTGAGGGTGTTTAGTTTTAAACTGAAACAAACCACTGAAAGGCCATTAGAGCTGGCCATAGTGAATGGTATTAAAGTCAAGGGTGATAGAGACACTGATTTTCTACCCTAAAATTTTTATTGGATAATGTACTTATTCAGAGGACTTCTCCAAGCACTCATTTGTCATTAATGGTAACTTGGAAAATGAAATTCACTCACAAATCACAATACTGGTAATTGATACTCTCCGCATCTGCGCCTACAATTATTTTTTCGATAATCTACTTCGTAGAATTAAGTCAATTTAACTGAGCATACAAATTTATTGGCTTTGCCCTCGAAATTTGTGGAAACAGCGAGTAGTAGAACGCCTACCATCACTAATAATATGCCAACCGCAAATTGGATATCCACTGTATTTTCAAGAAATTGCATGGCAATTTTTTGCGTGGTAAGGTTCGTAAGTTTGCTATCTTGAAAGAAAAAAAAGTGATGCATCAGTAGGCGAGTTTCCTTATGCGGTGTTTATCTTTCAGAGTTCGACGAGTGCAAAACGAATAAACACGGATGTTCACACATCTGTGTCAACACCCTCGGTAGTTACCGGTGTCAGTGTGAAATTGGCTACGAGCTCCACCCAGATGGCAAGCATTGCGAAGGTGTGTGTGTGTGTGTGTGTGCTTATTTTGATTATCTTAAAGCCACTTTCATAGGTTATACCTCTGTTTCGCCTTTTAAGAAAGAGTACTAAAGTAGTGCATGCAGAATAAGTGCCTAATTTATTATTGATATGATTGGTCGACCACTTGGTTCAATCGTTCATCTTAGTAATTGATGGGGGTGGGGATTACTCATTATTGCCCCCTGGGTCAACTGTAGTTGTGAAGAAAGTCAAACGCACGAAGATGCAGAGGTTTGCATAACATTTTACATTGTGGAAGTATAGCAGACGCATATATTAACTAGTAATTGCTGATGTTTTAATTTTTAAATTCCATGAATGGTTATTTAATATTAGCTAACAAGATGGCAAAAGAAACTTATGCGCACCCAATGCTAATTCCCTAATTTTCATAACTTCAGATATAGCTGTGTTTCAGTCGAAGATTTATTGGCTGATAGATTCTTGAAAAGATGATTCTATGATTTTTAAGGAATTTCATAAAGCATTTCTATAAAATGTGCAGATGGAGAGGTTGGCAACTATTCTTCTAAAACGAATAATGGCGATTCTTACCATATGTGCTGAAATGCAAACATGTCAAACGTTTTTGAAAGACATTCCTGAATCACTGCTACCAAATAGCTAAAATCCATCAAGATTCCTGCATATTTCACCAAAAACAATCCCATATGAAAACGCTAGCCAATTGGAGATGTAATCATTGTTTATTAACACCCTGTTTACCGTCTTCAGAGTTAGAATAGAATAGTTTGAATTCCATTCACAAGCAACTGTTTGGAAAGTTAAGCGGAAGGAAGGTGGGAATTGGTACTGGATTAATGGTAATACCAGCCATTTATTTTTCTTTTAGTGCTTAATGACTTTAAAATGACCATTTCAGATGCATGTGGCGGTGTTATAAATGCTGCCAACGGAACAATTCAAACACCCGGATTTCCAGCTGAATATCCACCGAATAAGAATTGCATTTGGAAGATTATCGCCGCTCCAAAATCTACCATCTTCCTCAACTTCACTCATTTTGATCTTGAGGGCAAAAATGTAAATTTACTATTCAAGTTTCCTTATTTCATAATGGAAATCGATGTTTCAAGATGAAAAAAAACATTTTACAATGGTATCTACGATTGAACAGCTGTCTCAGTCGATCAAAGTAGTGAATGGTGGGGTTTGGTGTCTATTTTCCGCTGACAAGATGTTGCCATATCAAATGAAAGGCAATACTGGAGTGCCTTCACTCCAAGATACTGTACTGATTTCTCATAGACTACTTATGTCTTGAAGGTCACTTTGTAGTATTAGCAGCCCAAGGCCAAACCACTATCGAATCGCTAGGCCCTTTGAGCAGATTAGCTATCAAAATGTCGGAAGCAGTTTGCACCCCCCCCCCACTTGAAGGTTTAGTGGAGGATACAGATCACTCATTTCAAAAATAAAGCATTGACTCTGTGGGCTTGGATAAAGATTGTCGGAATCTTATCATCTCTAACAGCACTCTCAATGTTTCTAATGGAGAGAAGCTACGCTGATAGTTTAAATTATTGGGAAAGAGGATGATGTGGGCTGCTGCTTGCCAAATCCTCTTAGCTCCCTTCAATCAAAGCAACTGTTACCGCTTAATTAACTGCATTTGGCCCAATTTTCTGAAAGTTGTCCCAATTTATGGGAGCGTGAACTTAACAACAGACCACTTGGCCAATTTTTGGATTGTGTGTAACGGGATGTCTGACGCCAATACCACCTAACTCCTAATGACTCTTTCATCCCGATTAGCAGTGGTTACAAGTGGTTGTCAAAGTAACTTATGTTCCATCTATTTTTCGTGGTGAAAATAATTACCTTGCTTCCGGGGTTAAGCCTTCGCTATTCACACGCTGGTAGCGGTCTTGGTTTCACAAAAATTATGATTGTACTTTCCTGTGTATTTTATTCTTGGGGCGTTAGTGGTTGGTTAACTTGGTTTGTTGAAAAGAGGGGTTTTTATCGGCTACAATGTTTAAGTTAATGCAGGCAAAACAATCATTGACTTTATCAAAAAATAAAAAACTCGATTTCCAATTCTGAGATTTCTCTTCACGGGCATTGGAACTTATCCACCGCCACCTCAAACACTTTTAAATTATTTATTAAGACGTCCAATCAAAAAGGAGATAAGGTAAAATGTCGATAAAATGTTCTGAGTGAAAGTTCATATTGAAATCTTTGATCCAATTCCCTCCATTATAATCTTACAAGTAAATCCTTTTTAATTAAGCAAACTCAAAAGAAACGTGTTTTGCTATTTAAGTAGATACCGAAGCAGTATTCCATGAATGTAAACTAAGTTTCATTGGTCCTGAATGAATCAAGTTAAGTTATATTTCTATTGAATGCTCGATATGTGTGTTTTAAGCCATGTTATCAGCTCTTATTGCATTTTCAGTTGGAAAATTACCACGTACACTCTCAAGTCGTTTTAACACCTACACAACATTTTTCATGTAGTTGCGTAACGTAGAAGAGGGTTTTATTTAGTCTATTGTACTTTGTTGTACGGAAGAAAATCAGTGGTATCTAGACAACGATAAAGTTTCAATTTACCCAAAATTAAAATAAGAATTTCATTATTCACAGTATGGGATATGACCTATTTCTTAGCATCTGGATAGCCTATTTCTTTTGCCATTTAAATTCATTCAATCATAATTTATCAATCAATATCTCTCTCTCTGAAAGCCTGGTATGCAATTACAATGTCTTAGAATAAACAGATACGATGTGCGGTTGAAATCCTTAAGCACAGTATGAATTCATCTTTTTTTCATTTATCTATTTTTCCAGAAAGCCTGCAACTACGATTTTGTCAATATCTACAGCGGTCCTCAACATAACCAACAGAAAATCGGCACATTTTGTGGAAACACACTCCCAGCGCCAATAACATCTCATACTAATGAGTTGAACCTGGAATTCTACACAGATGGATCCGTGCAGAGAACAGGATTCAAAGCAGTATTTTTTACTGATCTTGACGAATGCGCTGACAACAATGGAGGCTGCCAGCATATATGCCGAAACACAATAGGATCATATTACTGCGAATGTCGACCCGGCTATAAGGTATATGGCAGATTCAACTGTAAAGAAAGTAAGTGGCATGTGTTTCTATCGATCCATCCAACTACCACAAGGGTAATTAAAGTGGTTTCGCACGTATAATGTGCTCCTCTTCCGACTAATAATAGCTTTACTGATTGTAACAGTTGTTGCAGAGGCTTCGAATATACTTTTTTTACCTCATGGGACGAAAATTCCAGCAGTCGATTTACAAACTTCAGTGAACACTTGTATTTCAAAAATTTTGCGATTGTGGTAGTCGGGTCGATTGATTATGGTCATTTAAGGATATCTAATCATACCCGGGTGAATTTTTATTGATCTTTGAAATCTATCGAGAATGTTCTATGTTGTGCCTATACCACTTCTTTGATTTCTGAATATGGTTCATTGATTTAATGACGATCCATTAGAGCCATTTATTGCAAAGGTGGGACTTTGAAAAGTCAAGATCCAGAAGAATTTAATTTAATTTCAATATCTCGTGGATATTTTCATCTTTTACTTGGACTTCTCATGTGTGATTGACCAATCCGTGCCCAAAAAGTTAAGTATTAAGAAGAGTTTGATGATTTAAGATGACACTGAAGAGATTAGAGTATTCTGCCCGCACTGCTCTTTATTCACAAACCTCGAAGTCGCCTAAAACTTGAGAAGTTGAATAGTGTCTATTTATTCATTTTTATCAAAAAGTAGGCGTTATGATAGTTTTCATTAGTCCTTTAGTTGATTTTGAGCTTCACAGAGGAGAGGAACATCAAAGTCACAAAATGTCGAGAAGGGAAACAGAGGAGTGATTCACTTGTGTAAGAGAAACAGACACGACGGAAGAGAAATCGTAAGGTGAGTACTGTGGAAGTGGTCGAATATGACATACAGTGGGGGGTCATGGTAGTTTGTAGTAAGAAGTTAGCTGCAGGTTTATAGACTTTTCTGTCGTATGAGTATACGTTGCCCACTGGTGCACCACATGGAGTTTAGTCTATCGCGCACTCCTGAATAATGTCTCTACATGTTGATAACCGCCATGACGATTCTGCCAAACGGATTTGCTATCAGCATCTTGAACACTGGCCTAAAGCCCTCTTTGTACCATTCGTGTTCTTATCAACCTCGATGAGTAATCGGTAGCTCAGGGGAATCGTATACCGCCTACGCGATGGATACCATTTGCATTCATTTTTAACTTACTGTCTAATAGTCATGCCTTTTGTGCAATTCGATTGTTTTGATTTGACTTTGACACTTTGCTTCCTACCCAAACTATTATTAGCAAAATGTTGAGTTATTTTATTCTTTCTCTTCCATTAGCGATTAAACTCTAGAATGAAATGAGATTTCCTCAGCGACTTGAATCAATTTTATCTCAGTTGAAATTCGTCTTGGCCCTTTTCAGAGATTCTCCTAAGAGGGGACTCTTTGCGCGAATTAAATCGTATATAAAGCTCTTAAAGTGTTAAATTTGAACAGACTTTTACGAATATCTTGATTTTATTAACAGTGTGCAAAGAAAATATCCATTCATGGAAATTGCTCCGACCATCAATTATTAAAAACCAGTTTATTAAACTTTATTTCAGTCGGAAAGAGTGCTGGATGTCAACAGGAAATATCTTCACCCGAAGGTGAAATCCGTACTCCTAACTGGCCCAGCGAATACCCAGCTCGACAAAACTGTCAATGGAAGATCACTGCCACACCTGGTCATAGGGTTAAAGTTGTAAGTTCATCAATTTAGTGCTAACAAATAGCATTGCTACTGAAATAAATTAAGTAAAAGATGCATTTTGCCTGCAGGTATTCGACTCTTTTGAAGTTGAATCACACCAGCAGTGCATGTACGATCGGGTAATCGCTTACGACGGATTGAATACAGATTCAGCCCAGTTAGGACGCTTTTGTGGAAGCCGAAAACCTTTACCAATAATTTCAACCGGGAGCACCCTTTTACTTACTTTCAATGCTGATGGATCTGTTCAACGGAAGGGTTTCAGGGCACAGCACTCCACCGGTATGCTTTACCTGCTTAAATATTTATAGGTATAGAAGTAGACTCAACCTTCCTTATTTGATTATTTTACTATTTCAGTCTGCGGTGGTGACCTTAAAGCTGACGTATCTCCTCAGAATCTTTTCTCACATGCTAAGTTTGGAGATCTAGACTATCCAGTCAATCAGCAGTGCTACTGGACCATTCACTCGAACCTCAAAAATTACACCATTCTAATTCGGTTCTTATTCTTCGAAGTCGAAGAGGAAACTCTTTGCACGTGAGTGTATCATGATATGCCCATTACCTTGAAAAAAATGCTATCTTACAACCCATTTCATGAATGTAGTTACGACTACGTGAAAATATTTGACGGTCCGGATGGGGGAGCACAACGACTGGGAGAGTATTGTGGCCGAAAGGTAACCTCATTTGACGAATAGTAGGATTTAAATAGTTATGAAATAAATAACCTAGCATTACCTATTGCTACAGCTGCCTCATGATTCGTATGCAGCATCTGGAAGCATGCATATTCAATTCTACACGGATGATACCATAAGCGGAAAAGGTTTCCATGCACAGTATCAACTAGTTCCCAACGGAGCCGTAGCTAATCAAAATCAGCTTAATCTTTCTCCAATTGTAAAGTTACCCAATTCACCTCCTTCCCACTATCGATCGGAGCAGCCAGCTTATAGACACCGCCGGCAATCAGCTGCAATATCCCTTGCTAATTCCTCTCCAAAGGCTAAGGCCCCTTTCCACGGAACTCGATATGTTTCAAGAATTCATCGAACTTCTCCCTGGATAAGCCAGAAGAGTCTTTATGGAAACTATCGACCTCAGCCCACCGTCCAGCCTACACAAGTGTCAAATCGGGCATGGAGGGTCCCCTATAGACCTGCACAACCCTCCCATAGATCAGTACGAACTCAAAATCGGATCTATAATCCCCACGCAGGTTGGAGTGGCAGTGACTCTCGAAGACTGCACCCTCAATTGAGACCCGACGTTGAATACGGAATTCATGAAGTAGGAGGATCGACTAGTAGTTACCTTCCAGCGGCCACTTATAACTTCCAACAAAATAACTATCAAGGAAGTAGGCAGAAATCATCTGGGTACCGTGGTTCGAATACTTCCTATCGTCGCATTTCTACTACCTAATGAGGCTTAGAATTCTCTCTCTGCTTCCTTTTCTCTTTCATTGAACTAATAATGCATCGCTCGCCCCCCCCCCTCACCCCCACCCCCACAACCCCATCCCCTACAATATCCCTTTGCAGTTGGTTTCTCTATTTCACCCTTCCTTTCTCCTACAAGCAGAATTTTTGCACCCTTTACTCGTCATCGTTGTCTCATATACATATACATAAGTCGAACTAACTCTTCAGCGCATTATACCCCCCATTCTACTTTTATCACTTCTAAAGAAGATAAACGTGGAAACACTTGAAATTGGTGTGATCAATGCCATCCAGATTTGGTTAAAAACACTGTTTTGTGGGAGGTGCTGGTATGTTTTCTGAAGCGCTGTTTTACTCGCCAACTAAGCTAATTATGCCCTTTTATTAGCTTGGTCATGTGTTTGTCAATCCGCTATGAAAGATTAGTGCATCATCTTTCGAGAATAAAGTCTATTTATTAAGAAGACATCTCTTATAATATGAGTTTTACTGTTTTGTACCAGCCTCTTGGCCTATTAGGTCAAATTCGCAGACAGAAAGGACAAAGTCCTTTACCTAACAGAGTATGTTCATAGAAATATGACCTTAACCTTAAATAAATCAGTCCACTTGCCCTGAATAGGAGGTCGAGTGTAATAATATAAAAGCAGCATAATCGTTGTTTAAGGTTAACATTGCTATTTTCTGTTAAAATGCAATGACAATCTGTAAGTATTAGTCATGGGAAAGCATCGGATTTAGGGAAATAGGTTAATTAGGCATTGAATGTTTAGGAGGAAGCATTGAGGTGTCTCTAAACCAAGAAATCTCCTTACAAAATTAATGATATGGCTTAATGCTCTCAGGATACGACAGCTTTCCATAGTGCTGAAAGATGAATGGGAAAAAGAGAGGGTAGGAGTATGAAGAAAAATTAGAAATTGGGGAAGGAGAATGGATGGAATCTGGATTGTGTGGAGCAAGTGACTGAATTGCCTGATTTTGTTTCCTCCGTGGATCACAGTGTGAAGACTGGGGGGGGGGGGGGGAGGGAAGGGGGAAGGAACCATGGGTCTTGCCCTTTAATTATGGAAAAATTGTGTTATTCTTTCTCATATAATTGTGATTTAGTCATTGTGATATGGCCTGTAGCGGACTGCTACACCAATAAGCCTAGACTTTACTCAGAAATCTCTATGGCAGGTTTTCAAACGTCTAGCTAGACTCCCAGAACCAGCTAAGCTGTAGCCCAGCTATCAAAGAAACAGACGTGTAGCACGGAGCACGTTTATTCAGTAGCGGAAAACAGACGTGTAGCAAGGAGCTGTAGCCCAGCTATCAAAGAAACAGACGTGTAGCACGGAGCACGTTTATTCAGGACATATCTTGCGGATCACGTGTGTACACGCATGGAGCCACTCATGATCAGGATGGGGGATTAGGTTAAACAGAGGTTGATGATTGGTCACTGTTTGTACGGTCGCTGCACGCAGAGTTGTGCGGCCGCACCTCCCAATCCTGGCGAGCAGACATGCAGGCATACGATGACGCACACAGTGATAACGTGTCCCACAGGCCTAGCGTTCAAATTTGACGTTTATACCCTCAGGTTCATGAACAAGTCAATCTCTTCTTCTTCTTCCTCCTCCTCCTCTTCTTCTTACAGCCAAGCGAAGCCACTCGGGACAATAAACAATTTTGTAAATTAGATGAACTTCAGAAGAAGTCAAATATATTATTAAGGTGGGGGGGGGGGGGGGGGGGGAAAATTTTTT